TTCTTCAATCAAACGAAGCCCCGGCCGCGCTTCAAGGGTGATGAATGATGACTTTTCGCTTCTTTTTGTTCGAAAAGGAATTTGCCTTTCTTATTATTACTATTATTTTACTTATTTTATTTTATTTAAATTTTTATGGCTATTTTGGTTTGTTCTGTTCAAAGATCATTGGTAATGTTTTGTTCAAAGATAATTGGTAATATTTGGTTAAAAAAAACTAGAGCAAAGGAAGGTGGATTAGGAGCACCTTGGTGGTATGGTAAAAGATAAAAGAGGATCTAATTTTATATGATCTCTCGAATGAGGCTTATAACTTCTAATAAGGGTGATCATTACCTACTAGGTTTTATCTAATCAATAGTTTTCTGGTCTTGGAAGATAATTAAGATTACATAAACTGATCTAAATACCCACGATTATAAAAACAAAAAGTGGTATGTGTAATAATAGTGGAATTTATATAGAAATTTAAATGTTTTCTAACCAAACTTGAAAGAAATTAAAAGTAGAGGATCAAGAATCTGCCAATTTATATCTTTTAAAGGATTCTGACCACCATGATGCCCTTTAACTATGTGCTACGTTATTGAGTTTGAATTGCCTTTAACTATGCAATACGTTAATGAGTTAAGGCTCTTAGATTTTGGTCAATTTCTTTTCTTACTTCGGCCCGCCACCCCCCCCCCCCCCCCCCCCCCCCCCCGGGGGGGACCTCCTTGACTTTGCAGAATGAACAATATATATATAATATATAATAATATATATATATATATTATTAACTTTTAAATTCATCAAATATATCAAATTAAATTCTTAATTTTTCAAAAAAATCTCATAATACATTATAAATTATATATATTATGTAGAGTAGAGTATAGTAATAAGAAGATATAATCATAAACAAAAGAAATGAGCATAATATATATAGAAATTAAATTCTTAATTTTTCAAAAAAATCTCATAAATACATTTAATAAATTTTATATATATTATTTAATTGTACAGAGAACAAAATGAAAAAAATCTGTATATCTTTTTATATGTGTTATAAAATAAACATCATTCCTAAAATTTGTTTGTCAAATTAAATTATTGTCAATTGTTTTGTGTTTCAGTACTTCTATATACAATAGAATCTCTTTATAGTCATAATGTTAAGATCAATTAAATTTATTATTATGAAGAGGTTATAACTTAATATAGATGTAATTACAAGAATTATTATTTAAAAAATTATCATTTTGATTTCTTATTGTATAATTCATGTTTTAATAGTGTTAGAATTTCAATTCATTATTTTAGTAGCACTAGAATAGTATGGAAATGAATATCAAAGAGTCATTACAAAATTAAGTAATCAAATTCAACAACTTCACTATACTAATCAATTAGATATTAATTTTTTTATTAATCATCGAAATAAGCAATAAGTCATGTATGTTTTAACTGAAGAATAAATCATTACTATAATTATACAAGAAGAGGAAGGAGATAATCCTGAGGATGAATATAGTACAAAAATACCAAAAGTTTTATGCCAAAAAGCTCCAAACCTACGGTTAGAAATATTTTGGCTTTAATAAGACGGTGTCCATGTTGGCGACTTATTGCGTACTCACAAGATAAAATGTATAGTAACAACTTTAAAGCATAAATCATTGTCTCAAACAACTTTAGATAAATATTTTATTTCATCTTAAACATTTAATATAACATAACATATATTTTTTTATAATATACATACAATTATTACTACATAAAGGTAAGTTCCTTAAGACGGAACCTAGAAAAACTATAACTTATTACAATGTGAAATTTATTCTTATTTAAAACTGGCCCAACTTGAGACTAGAATTTTTTATGACTACATGAAAGTTATTCTTATATGGAGTATCACTATAAAAAGGTTCTACTGTGTATATATATATATATATATAGCTTACAACCCACCCCCACAACCCCTCACTTAAATTGGGATGCTCAAATGGAAAATCAAACCCAAGACCGTATGACTATCTACATTATCCTTAATTCATTCTAATCATTTAGACTACCCACAGATGAGTCATATTAAAATATTGAAATTAAGGAAAAAAATGATAAATATAAAAAAAATATGTATTTCGATACATTATTTTAAGGGATCAAAACATAAAAGTGAAATTACAATAAGACTTATAATATTTTACTATAAAAGCTAGATAAATTTTTGAATATTTTATTAGTTAAAATTTTATTGTAGTTTAATTTAGAGGTGTTATTATTTGTGTTGGCTTAATAATTTGTTCGTTATTAAATTTTCTTGATTTTGTTTTACATTCGTTAAAGTATTATAAAAACACAATCATAAATATATTAATTATAAAGAGCATTATAAATAAATACTCATATTTTTGTATAACTTATACCCAATATATTATTTATTATAAGTTTATTTATAATTGTATTATTAAGTTTAATTAACATCTTTGACCCACTAGAATGAGTTTCTGGCTACGCTCTTGCTTCTGAATATATAAATTTGATAAGTCGAGAAAATTCAGGTTTTAATTTTGAGTATCATTATTATGTAAGATATCAAAGTTTTGGGTGCCAAAATATGATTGTAAAGAGCCCATTGAAGGTCCATTTAAAACCAAATAAATTTGTATTTAAGTAGAAAGGCCTATACAGGGAAAATTATTGTATCACTTACAAGAAAAACACTGACTAGTTAAGAATGAGAATGGGGAAGACCCATAAATCTGTTATTTGGACCCCGCATTTACTTTACAATATGGATCTAACCTAAACTAGAAGATCAAAAAGAAAAAATCCATAAACCACAACCTATGAGGAATTAAAATTTCTCTTAAAGATCCAAATTGTAGCCACAAAACAAAAACCCCAGAAGCCAAAAGCACAGAGATGAAACAACTTACAAAGCAATCATCATCAAAGTGAAGATATACTTCTTCTTTGAGATCATGTAGCCAAGCACCTACAAGCAGAGTCTTTAAAGGAATGCAAGAGGCCTTAGGCCCCAAAATCCTGTTAATATCATTACGATTATAAAGTTCATAATCAAAACCATCAGGAACCTTGATGGTCTTTGAGGGTCACCATCTTGAACAATGATGAGATGGTAAGGCTCAAAAAAAGGCCTCCACATCTCCAAGAAATCAAGGTTCCTGATGGTGGGTATCACAATATCTAACTCATCTTTCAACTGAGGAGCTCCCTTAGGAACAGCTGTGTTTCAGCTGCAGTAGCACACTCTAATGGGCCATCGTTTTATTTGTAATTGAATTGAAATAAATAAAAAAGAAAGAGAAAAGAAGAAATAGTTGAGGGTAGAGTTCGGAGGGAATGTGTGATATTAATAGAGCAGAGAGAGATGAGGTGGCACGTGAGAAGCGAGTGAGCGGCACGAGGTAGGGAACTGGGGAACGTGTCTGGGTTTCGTGGTTGTAATAGCAGACTTCTTCAATCAAACGAAGCCCCGGCCGCGCTTCAAGGGTGATGAATGATGACTTTCGCTTCTTTTGTTCGAAAAGGAATTTGCCTTTCTATTATTACTATTATTTTACTTATTTTATTTTATTTAAATTTTTATGGCTATTTTGGTTTGTTTTGTTCAAAGATATTGGAATATTTGGTTAAAAAAAACTAGAGCAAAGGAAGGTTGGTATTAGAGCACCTTGGGTGGTCTAATGGTAAAAGGATAAAAAGGATCTAATTTTATATGATCTCTCGAATTCGAGTCTTATAACTTCTATAAGGGTGATCATTACTACTAGAGTTTTTATCTAATCAATAGTTTTCTGGTCTTGAAGATTAATTAAGATATACAAACTGATCTAAATACCTAGGCATTAAAAAACAAAAAGTTGGTATTGTGTAATAATAGTGGAATTATATAGAAATTTTAAAGTTTTTCTAACCAAACTTGAAAGAAATTAAAAGTAGAGATCAATGAATCTGCCAACTTTATATTCTTTTAAAGGATTCTGACCACCAGAGATGCCCTTTAACTATGTGCTACGTTATTGAGTTTGAAATTGCCTTTAACTATGCAATACGTTAATGAGTTAAGGCTCTTAGATTTTGGTCAATTTCTTCTTTTACTTCGGCCGCCCGCCACCCCCCCCCCCCCCCCCCCCCCCCGGGGGGGGACCTCCTGACTTTGCAGAATGAACATATATAATATATATATTATATATATAATATAATATATATATATTAACTTTTAAATTCATCAAATATATCAATTAATTAATTCTTAATTTTCAAAAAAATCTCATAAATAAATTAATAATTATAATAAGAGAGAAGATTCATCCTGCAACCCACGCGGAGCACACATCAAATAATCATGCAGAATCCGTTTCTGAATTTGAGCAACTCTCTAGTGAATCTAGAGGCAAAATTTTGGCAGTTTTGAATTTTGATTGGAATATGTAACGTAAGATCTTATTGAATTGAAGTCAAAATGTAATAAGATGCTATTTATTTGAAGTATATAATTTGTCTGCTCTACTATTTGTTACTAATGACAATTTAGATTCTTGCTTGTTTAGCCCATTAAATTCTGTTTTCATGGTACTGACAGATCATGGAAATACTTTAGCATGTATTGTATATCACTAATTAGTGCTTTTCATGGATTATAGTTGGTTCAGCTTGATCTTCTGAAAGATGGTTAAACAAAAACTTCTATTTTGCTATGCCTAATTTGGCATTAATCTGGCTCTTTCAGTTCAAAAATTCAAGTTTCACGGTTTCACCAGAATATTAACAAACAAAAAGGATAGAAACAGAAATTGTTACCCCCAAAAATTTTTCCCTCGTACAAAAGGCCTAGCCGTTTTGAAATGAGTAGTGGCAACTGGCAAGCAAATAACACATAAGCCTGTCTACGGTGTCAATTTGGCTTCTTCTTCAGTTCAAAATGCAATTCCAACATAATTGTCTGACAAAAATAACTTAAAAAGTACTAGTGACAATTGACAAACCAAGAATCAAACCGAATGGTAACTTGACCATATATATTTTATTTCTATGAGTTCATAGCATGAAATAAATAAACAAAAATACACCCGCCAATCTGTAAAATCCAAATGTTGGTCTAAATTGGTGTCAAAGGTGCATAAGAAAGAATTACAGCAGCGACTATAAACCATAAACCACTTCCTATGTGTAGGAAAATTATAATGTCGTTTGCTGGTAGTCAAAACTTTTCTACTTTGCTTTGCCGTCGGCCTCAGCAGAAGCTCCTGGCTGGTTAAGCTCATCCCAAGCTTCAATCCATGTGACCATGGCGTCGGCGAGATTGTCAAAGTAAGGATCTACCTTGCTAAGCTTTTCCTTCACCAGCTTCGACAGTTCAATGTAGCACTTTTGCACACTGGTGCATTCTTTCGGAAGGGAAACAGCTTGGAAGAATGGGATGATCTCTTCCTGCCAGAAAATGCCCTTGTACTCCTTCTTTAGGTTCACGAACGGATTGCTCGCTTTGCTGTGGAAGATATAAGGCAGACCAGTCTTAACTCCCAATCCCAAATGGTCACATATCACCTATGCAATCAAAATCAGAAGCTGGTTAATACGTGGCCTTAAAAATGCTGTACAGGATCAGGTTACTGGAAATGGGGTTAATGTCAGTAAAATTGAGAGAAAAGCAGAATGCAACAAACCTTGGTGCACCAGCCAGCCCACATATCGTCGTAGCGTCCAATTGGCTGACCATCACCCATGAGACCAAAGTACATTGCAGGGCCAATGAGCTCACGGTCAAATGCCAAATTCATACCACACATGGGGAACAACGTGCCCTTAGGAATGGTCAAAACCATATCCACAAACCTGGTTAACGGTAAGCATAATAAGCATAATACTGAGATTCTTATAACTGAATTATTTAAAGTCTTCTTGTTCATGAAGCAATCACATACCTAGTGTTCTTCTCCAGAGGCTTCACAAGCTGTGTAGGTGCATCATAGTCAGGAATGTTGAGCCACAAGCCATGAGAAACAGCAGTTGGGACACCCTCGCGGAGACTGAAAGGGTATCCACGGACAAAATCTGCACCTTCTCTGAAGGGATCATAGAGAGTGTTGAAGAAAAATGGAGTTGAAGGGGAAAGAAGGTTCTTGATGTGCTGCTCGAGTGCATTATGCGGTTTGCCAGATGGATCCTTTGCAACCTAATCATAAAAATAAAAAATCCAGAAATAAATAAATGGAAGTCATCCATAGTTCCACCATGTTAAAGAAAACAAAAGCATTAATTATTTAAACCCAAAAAACAATCATTGGGCTATAATATGAGAATACTAAAACAAGAAGTCCTTAAAATATTAGCCAACTGATTAAATAGGGATTAAATAGGAATAAAACTAATAAGAAAGCACAAAACAAGATTCACCATCATTTTAAAATTATTGATTTATGGCAACATCAACATCCATAGATTTGGACGACCAAAATGTACATGCTGAGACAAAAAATGATGCAACAAACTGACATAATCACACAAAATTTTACATCTAAAAAACCTTGCTTATCAATTATTTGTAATTTGCAACTGCACATAGCATGATGTGCCATGTTTCAAGGTATGAACGATCCATTAACGTGGAAAGATTGCTTGAAACACAGGTAACCAGCAATCATATAAATGCAGCACAATGAGACTCTGGCTAAAGTAAGAAATTATTTGCCAAAGTTGACGAAATCTGAAACATGATGAATTATAAATGAAAAAATCCATCCAAAAAGGAAGCAAAATGAAATTTTTAGTGCATCATAATCAAAACTAATTCTTTAAGACCCATAAATCTTGTTATTTGGACCCCGCATTTACTTTACAATATGGATCTAACCTAAACTAGAAGATCAAAAAGAAAAATCCATAAACCACAACCTATGAGGAATTAAAATTTCTCTTAAAGATCCAAATTTTAGCCACAAAACAAAAACCCCAGAAGCCAAAAGCACAGAGATGAAACAACTTACAAAGCAATCATCATCAATAGTGAAGATATACTTCTTCTTTGAGATCATGTAGCCAAAGCACCTACAAGCAGAGTCTTTAAAGGAAATGCAAGAGGCCTTAGGCCCCAAAATCCTGTTAATATCATTACGATTATAAAGTTCATAATCAAAACCATCAGGAACCTTGATGGTCTTTGAAGGGTCACCATCTTGAACAATGATGAGATGGTAAGGCTCAAAAAAAGGCCTCCACATCTCCAAGAAATCAAGGTTCCTGATGGTGGGTATCACAATATCTAACTCATCTTTCAACTGAGGAGCTCCCTTAGGAACAGCTGCTGTTTCAGCTGCAGTGGCAGACTCTAATGGGGCCATCGTTTTAATTTCTAATTGAATTGAAATAAATAAAAAAAGGAAAGAGAAAAGAAGAAATAGTTGAAGGTAGAATTCCGGAGGGAATGTGATGATATTATATAGAGCAGAGAGAGAGATGAGGTGGCACGTGAGAAGCGAGATGAGCGGCACGAGTGTAGGGGAACTGGGGAGACGTGTCTGGGTTTCGTGGTTGTAATAGCAGACTTCTTCAATCAAACGAAGCCCCGGCCGCGCTTCAAGGGTGATGAATGATGACTTTTCGCTTCTTTTTGTTCGAAATGGAATTTGCCTTTCTTATTATTACTATTATTTTACTTATTTTATTTTATTTAAATTTTTATGGCTATTTTGGTTTGTTCTGTTCAAAGATCATTGGTAATATTTAGGTTAAAAAAAACTAGAGCAAAGGAAGTTTGGTACTGGATGGTTTGATGGTAAAATGACAAAAAATGATCTAATTTTATATGATCTCTCGAATTCGAGTAATTAAAAAATCTAATAAGAGTGATCATTACAAAATAGAGTTATTATCTAATCAATAGTTTTCAAGTCTTAGAAAATTAATTAAGATATACATAAACTGATCAAAAAACCACAGGTATTAAAAAACAAAAAGTTGGTATTGTGTAATAATAGTGGAATTTATATAGAAATTTTAAATGTTTTCTAACCAAACTTGAAAGAAATTAAAAGTAGAGGATCAATGAATCTGCCAACTTTATATTCTTTTAAAGGATTCTGACCACCATGAAATGCCCTTTAACTATGTGCTACGTTATTGAGTTTGAAATTGCCTTTAACTATGCAGTACGTTAATGAGTTAAGGCTTCTTAGATTTTGGTCAATTTCTTCCTTCATACTTCGCCGCCGCCGGGGGGGTGGGGCGGGCTTGGTGTAGGGGGACCTCCTTGACTTTGCAGAATACACACACACACACACACGCATATATATCAAATTAAATTCTTAATTTTTCAAAAAAAATCCCTTAAATACATTTAATAAATTTTATATGTATTATTTAATTGTACAGAGAACAAAATGAAAAAAATCTATATATCTTTTCATATATTTTATAAAATAAATATCATTTTTAAAATTTGTTTGTCAAATTAAACTATTATCAATTGTTTTGTATTTCAGTACTTTTATATACAGTAGAACCTCTTTATAGACATAATATTGGGACCAACTAAATTTATTACTATAAGGAAGTTATAACTTAATGAAGATGTAGTTACAAGAATTATTGTTTTGATTAAAAAATTATCATTTTGATTTCTTATTGTATAATTCATGATTTAGTAGTATTAGAATTTTAATTCATTGTTTCCATAGCATTAGGATAGTATGGAAATTAATATCAAAGAGTCGATACAAAATTGAATGATCATATTCGACAACTTCACTACACTAATCAAATGGATATTAATTTCTTCATTAATCATCCAAATGAATAACAAGTTGTGTATGTTTTAACTGAAGAAGAAATTTTTACTGGAATTAGACAACAAGAGGAAGGAGATAATCCTGAGGATGAATATAGTACGAAAATACCAAAAGTTTTATGCCAAGAAGCTCCAAACCTACGGTTAGAAATATTTTGGCTTTAATAAGAAAACGTCCATGTTGGCGATTTATTACGTACTCGCAAGATAAAATATATGGTAACAACTCTAAAGCATAAATCATTGTCTCAAACAACTTTAGATAAATATTTTATTTCATCTTAAACATTTAATGTAACTTAACATATATTTTTTTATAATATACATACAATTATTACTATATAGAGGTAAGTTCCTTAAGACAAGACCTAGAAAAATTATAACTTATTACAATGTGAAATTTATTCTTATTTAGAACTGACTCAACTTGAGACCATAATTTTTTATGATTATATAGAGGTTATTTTTATATGGAGTATCACTATAAAATGGTTATACTGTATATATAAGGGCTAGCTTACAACCCACCCTCACGGTCCCCCACTTAAATTGGGATGCTCAGATGGAAAATCGAACCCGAGACCGTATGACTATCTACACTATCCTCAATTCATTGTAACCATCTATACTACACATAGATGAGTCATATTAAAATATTGAAATTAAGAAAAAAAAGATAAATATAAAAAAATATATATATTTTGATACATTATTTTAAGGGATCGAAACATAAAAGTGAAATTACAACAAGACTTATAATATTTTATTATAAAAGCTAGATAAATTTTTGAATATTTTATTAGTAGAAAATTTATTGTACTTTAATTTGGAGGTGTTGTTATTTGTGTTAGCTTAATAACTTGTTCATTATTAAATTTTCTTGATTTTTTTTTTACACTCGTTAAAGTATTATAAAAACACAATTATAAATATATTAATTATAAAGATCATTATAAATAAATAGTTTATTTACAATTATATTATTAAGTTTAATTAACATCTTTGACCCACTAGAATGAGTTTCTGGCTACGCTCCTGCTTCTGAATACATAAATTTGATAAGCCAAGAAAATTCAGGTTTTAATTTTGAGTATCATTATTATGTAAGATATCAAAGTTTTGGGTGCCAAAATATGATTGTAAAGAGCCCATTGAAGGTCCATTTAAAACCAAATAAATTTGTATTTAAGTAGAAAGGCCTATACAGGGAAAATTATTGTATCACTTACAAAAAAAAACATTGACCAGTTAAGAATGAGAATGGGGATTTGAGAAGTCCATGAAAATGAACCTTGGAGAGGTTTTGCAGTATGTGAAATTAAAATGACAATATAACCAGCTTTGGAACATTAATATATAGAGTTGCTCAATGTCAGGATCATGAAATCACACTCACAGAAATTCAAGTTTACCATTTAATGAGTCTGTTTAACTCCTTGAGATTCTAAGAGAGGTGCCATTACTCCACCGTTCTATATTAATGAGAAAAAAATTTTACAGGCAACAGAAACTGGAGAGGGAGTTAAAGTGTTTCAGATATAGAAAGCCTTTTTGTGGGCTGGTTGCTGGGCTACTCTACAGAAAATCTATGTCTATAGTTGCAACTTTGTTTCTGAAATTGGGAACAAATTCAGACTGAATTCAAAGGTCTGGAGTACAAGTACAATAAATCAAGCAGTGGTGTTATTTAAAGTTTAAACCCCACCAGAAACACTTTATACAAAGAGAGTTTAGATGGGGTTTAAATAACACCACTCACTGTAAATGAACGTGATGATGAATTTTAGCAGTGTTTTGTTAGTTTAAATATAGCCGAAAACATGAATCTCGATGTCATTAATTTTCTAATCTGTTAGAACATTATCATACACTCTCTTTATCTCTTTGATATGTTACAATGTCCCTCTGCTGTATATACATAAAAGGTTAGTCAGTGAGATGAGACTCTAATGTGTAATCCATTTGGTGCTTCAACTCTTGGAAACCTCATTAGTTTATCTCCACCAATTTCATTCCACCTGCAGTAAACAATCAAATCAAATTACATTAGCTATCAAAGTTTTACGCCCATAAATAAACTTGACTGAGCACTGTACATATATATATATATATATGTTTGTTACCTGTATCTAGTTACAAAGTAGTGAAGGAAAGTTGAAATTTCTGCTATTCCAAGTTCCTTTCCAGGGCATTGCCTGGTGCCCCCTCCAAATATAAACAAATAGTTTTGAGACTCTAAACTCTTATCCTGCATTTATGAATATAAAAAAAAAACTTGATCACTTGATGGAAGATTTATAACCTTCTTTCACATATGGAAGATTCATATGGAAACTCACCACCCATCTCCAGGGATTGAAGGCTAATGGATCTGGATATATATACGGGTCGTAGTTTATCTCCCTTGTATAAACATAAATTCTCCATCCCTCTGGAATCACAAATCCTGGAAAAACAAAGAAGGAAAGCTGTTATTTATAGAACATATATATATATATAGGCTGTTATTTATAAAATAGAAGCTTATTGTTGTGTTTTGTGTAGGAGACTTAAAATTTAACTAAGATGAAAACATTATTTTCTTCAAAAAGCTCCATATCTTGTCAAAAAAACCATTTAAACAAGACATGGGTCATCAATGGAATGGTCTAGCTGGATTGGTAGGTATGACAAGTAAATCATGATAGGCTGAGGTCCACTTTGAAGAATGATCTCATATCCATGAATGACATGCTGTAACTTCTTTTTTTTTTTTTTTTGTTTGGCTCAAAATAGCTGCAAGACAGCTTCTTCAGCCCAAAAATACTGAAAGAGCTAGCTGGACTCACCGTTAAGTTCCATTTCTTTTGTGGTTTTCCTCAGAACTCCATTAACTATTGTAGCTAATCTTGAGGTCTCAAAGATCACCTGCAGGTAAAAAATTATGGTTAATATAATTTACAGAAAAAAAAAAAAAATCAATTAACTCTTATGCTATACATTCAAAGGGAATACAGTTTTCTTACTGCTCTAGTAAATCTCATTGATTTAAGGTCATTCCATTCAATTGGATCCCCTGGCCTTTTCCTTTCTTTAATTGCCAAATGTTCTTTCTGCAAAAGTTCATAAAATTAGTCAAGCATACAAGAAATACAACATTTTCAACCAATAAGAGTCTTGTTAAACTTACTCTTAGCTCTTGAAGGACTCTTGGATGATCATGGAGATACTTGACAGCCATCATTGAAGTGGTTGACACAGTCTCATAACCAGAATACAAAATAGTAATTATTTGATCAATAATCTCTTCATCACTTAATTTGTATCTATTTTCATCACTTCTCATTAGGTAACCAAGCATGTCTTGGTGGGTTTCTTGAGAAGCTCTTCTCTGTTCTATCAGTTGTCTTAACATGGATACAATGTTTTTCCTCGCCTGTAGAAACAAGCCAAGAAGAGTATCAGAAAATTATTGCACATACAGCCAAAACTTTATATGCAAGACCAAAAATAGAAATGAGAAAACTTACATCTAAACCTTGACGATAGTTTGTGCCAGGCAGGTCTATTGGCAGTGACAGAGTTCCTAAAACCAACTTAAAGAACTCAGGCATGAATTTCTGAGACATGGAGCTCGATTCTACACTGGCAATCTGCTTAAGTGAAGAAAGAAGCGCCATCTGTTCCAAAACAATGAAAGAAATGAGAATAAAAACAGGGCAAAAAAGATCAAAACTTTTAATATTTTTTATTATTATTAAACTAACCTCTTTGGTTTTATCTTGAATGTTAACGATATTGTTATCCCAATTGATGAGATGGGTT